GGTGTAAAATATGCCATGAAACTGCCACAACTTTTTAAAGCTGGTGTGCTTTTTTGGTATCTTTCTACAGAATCCATTATAAATTCTTCACAAAGTACGTAATTAGCATCGAATAATTGATCTGAAAGCTCAAATTAGATAAAGACTTGAGGCCATACATATATATACTATAATGCTGGAAAGCACCATTATGTACTTCACCCCCCTTGTTTCACAGACTAGGAAACTGGGGCCCAGAAGGTGAAGTATTTTATCTAAAGTCAGACCCAGAGTAAACAACAGAGCCAGGATTTAAACCTAGGTCTTTCATGAGCATGTGAATTGGACCTTGAAGCAAGAGCGGGACTTCTTCAGTGAGAGATGTGTAGAGGAAGAGAGTCTCCATTCCAGGCATGGGGACGTTGTGACAAAACCACAAAGATGAGAAGGCAGTACGGGAATGGAGAGTGCTTGAGTCTGGCTCGAACATAAATAAGATGAGTATGAAATAAGACCAGAAAGATAGGTGAAATGGTTAAGGGGTTAAGTGACTTCAACATCCCTGGTCTCACAGGTATTAAGCTTTGTAGGTAGGATTTGAGTGTATCTTCTTGATGAGAATAACAGTCTGTTACATCATGTTGTTGTAGGGTGGCTAAGTGGCGCAGTGAAGAGAGTGCTGGGCCTGAAGTCAGAAAGACTTATCTTACTAAGTTCAAATCCAGCCTCATCCACTTACTAACTGTGTGACCCTGGGCAAGTCACTTAACCCTGTTTGCCTCAGTTCCTCATCTGTAAAATGAGCTGGAGAAGGAAATGACAAACCACTCCGGTATCGTTACCAAGCAAACCCTAAATGGTGTCACAAAAAGTCAGACAGGACTGAAAAAAAAACTGAACAACAAACAATAACAACAACTGTAGTAGTCTAATGAAAAAGAATTTAAGGCCTCAGAGTGGTTCCACAGAAGCAGAGAGGTGGGGACAGATACTGTAGAATCATACTTACACTGAGATATGGTGCCTGATTACATATGTGAGATTACAGAAGGCCCAAAGTTCACTTAGCATTTATACCTCAGTGACAGTGGAGATGGCAGAGCCATGAGACAGCCATCCATAGCTAGTTCTGTAACAGGCAAGACAGCTACCTCATATATGTCATGTGTTTCTTATAGGATAAAATGAGAATAATGGAAAACAAGTACACTGAAAAGCACTTAGGCCTTATTTAAATGCAAAATAGTGTTAGCAAAACAGAGTTCATCTACTAGGAAGCACCAGGAGAGCTCTAAACATCTTCGTTGGCAGTACAAAGTTGAAATCTCTTCATAAATGTTACTGAAGAGTGATTAGTATTTTAATTAGTATTTTAAGAAATAGAATATCAGAGGGAAGACCAGCATATATTTTCTAAGAGATTAGCAGATATAGTACTTCACAAACATTAAATGGCTACTACCGGGGTGGGAGCCTGCAGCCTTGAAGCCACATGTGGCCTTCTAGGCCCTCAGGTGCAGCCTTTTGACTGAGTCCAAGTTTTACAGAACAAATCCTTTTATTAAGGAGATTTGTCATATGAAGTTTGGATTCAGTGAAAGGGCCGCACTTGAGGACCTATAGAGCCAAATGTGGCCTCAAGGTTGCAGGTTCCCCACCCTTAGCCTACTATGTTCAAAGCACTGTGCTACAAAACAAAACTGAACAAATCTTCTTACCCTTAAATGAACTTACATTATGCCACCAATTTGAATCCAGATCACACCCCCTAACGTGAGATCTTTTTGAAAGGAAAGGAAAAAAAACATGTAGGTTAACATTAAGAAATGATGCACTAATGATAGGATACACTTAGGTTTTATATGAGCCGTCTTTGAATAGCTGATAGGGTAGGGGGAGGGTAGAATATGACATAGATTTGAATTGGTGTGGTAATTTGACCTTGAGGTCAACCCAGGCCAACGAAGTCCAACCTACCATATTTAAGGGCAGCAGGATATAGAAGAAATAATTATAGACTTGGATCCAAGAGACTTGAGTTTGAATCCTACCTTAGACATTTAATAGCTATGTGACCCTAGCTGTGTGACCTATGTGACCTACCAGCTGCCTACTCTATGGGATTGTTGTGAAAAAAGCACTTTATAAACCTTCAAGTGTTATGCAAATATGGTGGCATCAAATTCCAGAAACTAGTAAAGGTCCTGAAGGTTGGCAGTAGTACCCAATCTTGTGTGCTGTGAGACTTAGGACACCTACCCACAACTTCTTGTAGTTTCTTGAATGGTTTTATGAATGTCACAAATCCTACTCGGCATTAAATGGTTTAGGAATCACCTTCTCCTTAGCATTCCCTGAGTCCCTAAGCTAAAAATAGTAGAACAGGATTCCCCAGAATCAGGTCTAAAGCATATTCAGCCTGTGAGCATTGTAGGAGCACTGTTACTCACTCGTCAGAGTGAGTAAATACTAATACTAATACTAAATACTATACTAAATACAATACTAATACTAAAATACTAACTAAAATACTAAAATACTGCCTCTTATATCTTAGCAGAGGATGAGAAATGAGGGAGAATTCCAGAAGCCATTGCTTATAGCAATAGCTTACCTTCAAAATTTCCTCTTCTGCATGGGAGATGCTAGATACATTTTTATCATTGATAATGTGCTGCTACCGCTGCTACATAGAAGCCAAATGCTGATAAGCAACAGATGAACCAGTCAATTAGAAATAAGTGAGTTCACCTGAGGTCTGCCAACAACAACAGATCTTGCACAAAAATTATTTGTAAGCCTCAAAGTGAACCATACTATAATAAGTGCACAAAGCATTTCTGGTTTATACCCATAGGTGAGCTGCTATTATTTTTTAGGAAATCAAATCCAAGAGGAGTCTAAGATAACTAAGATAGAAGTAACTCTTAGGAACAGCTAGGTGGCACAGCTGATAGAACATCAGGCCTGGAGTCAAGAAGACCTGAGTTCAAATTTAGCCTCAGATTCTTACTAGCTATGTGACCTTGGGCAAGTCACTTAACCCTGTTTGCCTCAGTTTTCTCATCTGTAGGAGAAGGAAATGGCAAATCACTTCAATATCTTTGCCAAGAAAACCCCAAATGGAGTCATGAAGAGTCAGACAAAACTGAAACAAGTGAATGACAACTCTTACTTATAAATAAGTTATTGGGTTATGTTTTCGCATAAAAAATAGTGATGCCATCAGTAGCATCATTTGGAAATGCAGAGAATGTGATGATATAAAATATTCTATCCACGTGTCTCATTTTTTTTAATACGTATGTAAAGACAATTGATCATAGGGTGGGCTTATTGGATTGAATGCTGTTTTTGGAGTTAAGAAGACATAGGTTCAAATCTCCTCTCTTATACTTTCTGCTTGAGTTATCATAGACTTTCTCAGTCTCAGTTTCTCAGGCAAGACTTCAATTCAGGTCTTCCTGATATCAAGGTTTATTCTCTTTCCACTCTGCAGCACTACTTCTATTATCAGTAAAATTAGAAAGTATTTTGATGTATAATAAATAGTTTAAAAGCCTTTTTGAAAGCTTCATTGACAAAACGATAAAGTAAAAGTTTTAGATATACCAAGTGAAATCAAAAATATTTTTACAAGAGTTGGTAAAAGACAAAAGAGCAAATATATTTTTGGAAAATTACTATTTCTGATTGAAGGTGCCCATGCCTTTATTAAAAATTCATTAGAAAGATTTCTTTATATGTAATTCTGAAATATTTAAATAAATAGAAAATATTGTTAAAACTTATTAGAGAGCAGCAGAAACAGAATTTAGACCTAGAGGAAAGATTCATTCAATCCTTCCATACTACCCTAGTTCAGGTCATCGTTGTCTAGATTATGATACTAGCCTTTCATCTTATCTCTCGTTGTCTCCACTGCATAGGGCAGTGCCTGGCACATAGTTAGGCACATAATAAATCTTTATTGATGGACTGGTTATTGATTATCTCTAGCCTCTTTTATCCATCCTTCACAATTAATAAACTAATGAATAGATGGATAAAAAAGCAAGTTGTTAACTGTTTACTATGTGCCAAGCACAGTGTGAAGCTCTAGGAATACAAATAGAAAAAGCCAGACAGTTCTTGCTTTCAGGGAGCTTGCATTCTAATTGGGCAGACAACACATAAAAATGAGTTGAGCTGCAGAGCAGAAAAAGTCCAGCAACAGGGCGTATAGCCAGGACCACTGGTTCATAAGATCCACAAGCAGGCAAAATGTCAGTTCCCAGGAGTCTGGAGGACATAAAGACAGGGAAAAATACACAGTGGGAGGACAAGGTGATCAAGCCTGGTGGTCCTCCATCTCACCGGAAGAATTAAAGTGGGTGACTCCTTGCTCATCCAAGCAGTGTGAGCAGCCATGGCACTCTTCCTTTTCCCCTCTCCCCACTCCCGTGGTGTCTGGGTGGGCAGGGGAAGGAAAGCAAGAGAATAGGGTGGTCCCACTAATGAAGGATCTTCTGGGCTCAGCACCCCTGACTACTACCACAGCATTTTTCCTAATACACAGGTCTGCTCATATAATTTTCCAACTCAGAATCCCTCAGTGGCTCCACGTTACCTACCTGATAAAAATCTTTAAAAATGATTATACTTTGTCCTATTCCTTATATACGTAGGGTTTCAGTTTAGTATTTATACCCCTTTGATCTAAGGGACCAAGATGAAGCAAACAAGGTTTTCTTTCTCTGATTTTTCTCAAATTCAAAAGATTGAGTAGCCCAGAAGGCTCAATTATATATCCAGGTAACCTTTAATTAAAGTCTAATCTGTGAAGTGTTTTAATATAAATAATTATGCTACAATGAACAAGCTTTAAAATTTGAGTGTGTGCTTAATCTACATCTTAATTTCAAATGTTACAATATAACATTATTATTAAAAAAAACTTTCAGTGTATTTAATAAAGTATGATTACTTATATTTTTGAGTGAGCTATCTGATCACTAATCTAAGTCTTAACTTTTTTCTAGTTGCTCAGCAGGAGGCTGAAATGGTCAAAGATTTCAATGGATCCCTCACAGCAACTGGAACACATAGAAATCCACTATTTTTTAGCAGTTCCTCAGCAATGCAAGATACAGTGGCATCTGCCACTGATCAGTTCATCAGTGCTGCTAGAGTGTCTATGAGAATGCAGAAAGTGAAACAGAAACTTGAATCAGTCATGGTATGTCAGACCCTAATAGTTAAGAAGTTGTCATTTTTATGTGATACTTAATATGCCTGTATCATTATTTCATGCCTTAAAGCTTCATATATGTGTGTATACATATATGTGTGTGTGTGTGTGTGTATAGTATATATGTGTGTATATATGTATGTAGTATATCTATATATGTGTGTATATATATAAATATACATGTGTGTATATATGCATATAGAAATACATGTGTGTGCATGTATATACATACACACATATATCCACATGTATGTATATGTGTGTATATCGCTGTGTATATGTATGTGTGTATATGTGTGTGTGTATATATATATATACACATATATATATACATGCATATATATATCTTTTAGAACAAATTAAGGATATTGGAATCAATCCAGCTTGACAGAGACCTTAGGTAACAGGGATCAGGAGTATTCCTCTTCACCTTGGTATGTGTCCAGTAACTTCCCAAAGGTCATTGTATATTCCCATGTCATATCCCAGATCTCACTTCTCCAGTCAAAAGAAGAGATTTGGCATCTCTGTGAATGGAAAGATTAATCAATGTAAACACTCTGAATTCATACTAGAATTCAGCCGACATGCTGTGAAGGTGATAAGAGCTTTCTCTAGCTTGAATGATTCCTTTTTATTGTCGTAACTTTTTTCATCTTGCCACATGATAATAGATATACTATTAGTATTATTGATACTAACTCATTGAGAAAAAACAGTGACAAAATGACAGTGTTGGGTGTACACATGGCTTCACGTGCTTCTTGCAATAACTCCAGAGATCCCCGAGGATCCATAGGTCATGTGTCAGATGTGATTGCTTGTACTAGAATGGATACATCTCTGCTTTCAGGAGTCTACTCTTAATCATTTTTGCAAGACCATCACACAGAATATTCTACTATTGCGGTCTGAGTTTGCAAATTAGAATGCATAATTAAATATCTTATATTGACCTTTTGGTTGTTCAATCATTGCAATTGTGTCTGACTCTTTGTGACCCTGTTTGAGGTTTTCTTGGCAAAAATACTGGAGTGGTTTGCCATTTCCTTCTCTAGCTCATTTTACAGATGAGGAAACTGAGGTTTGCTTAGGGTCACACAGCTAGTAAGTGTCTGAGGCTGAAGGCTGAATTTGAATGCAGTTCTTCCTGACTCCAGGCCTGGCAACCCATCTACTGTGCCATCTAACAGCCCCAGCTCATTTTACAGATGTTGAAATTGAGGCAAACAGGGTTAAGTGACTTGCCCAGGGTCACACAGCTAGTAAGTGTCTGAGGCTGAATTTGAACTCAGATCTTTCTGAATCCAGGCCTGGTGCTCTATCCGCTGTGCCACCTACCTGCCCATATTTACATTTAGGTAACACTTTATAAAGAAATATCGTATTTGATCTCCAATCAGCCCTGTGAGTTAGGCAGCATAGGTTTTATATTTCTTATTTTACAGATGTGAAAAATGAAACTCAGAGTGGTTCAATGACTTGCCACAGGTCTGCAATTTAAACCCCAGTCTTTTATGAGCCATTATTTTTTTAAAATAGGATTATATGTATGTTAATGTGCATGTATTTATTAATGAACTTATATTATAGGACTTGATAGTTACAAAATATTTTCACCTACATTCTTCTCTATGTAGGTTACTAGTAACTATTTTATCTTAGAACTGTCTGGATGCAGAACTCCTGTTTATAACCCTGACTCTTGTTTGAAAAGCTCTAGCAATGGACAGCTGACTCTCCTATGAGTCATAGGATCATAGATTTAGAGCTGGAAGGAATCCAGAGGGCATCTAGTAAAAACCCCATTGAGGAAAAACTGAAGCTCAGAGAGATTAAGTAATTTTCTGAAGATCACACAGCAAGTAGGTATCAGAAACAGGATTTGGAGTCAGGAAGACTTGGGTCTTCTACACCGTATTGAGGCAGCTCATCTTGTTTTCTTTGCTTCTCTTTTTAAAAAATGTAGTACATAGAAGAGAAGTGTTACAAAATCAAATGGATTTTAACTAAAATATTTCTTCTCAGAATGTATATTCTAGAATTATAGTGTTTACTAAAAAGAAAAGGTTTCATAACAGCTTAGTCTAGGAAGAAGCTCAGAAGCCAAGCCTCCTCAACAAAAGAGAATAGCCCTCTACCACACACCTCACATGGGGGCATCTGGTTTGAATACTTTCAGTGATATGGTTCTTACTACCTTAGGAAGCATGCCATTTTATTGTTAAATTGTTAGGGTTAGAAAATTTTGTATAATGCCCTGAGTTAAAAAAAAATTACCTTTCTGTTAATTTCATATGAGTATCTTTAGTCCTATTTCTCCCAATTCTCAACTCCTTCAAAATTAAAAAGAATTTCTTTTTAACAAGCATAGCAAATTTATACATTGACTTTATCTGAAAACATACATCATATTCTACGCTTGTAGTCCTTTACTTCTTTAAGAGGTAGTACATATTTCATCATTTATCCTTAATTGTGATTAGAAAGTGTATTGATCAGAGTTCTTAAGTCTTTCACAGTTGTTTTTCTTTACAACATTGGAGTCATTGCACTCCTGGTTCTGCTCCCTTCACTGTGTATCAGTTCATACAAGTCCTTCCAGGTTTCTTTAAATCCATCCCTTTCATTTATTTTTCATGTTGCAGTAGTAGCCTATTAAAATCATATGCCATAATTTCTTCAGCCATTCCACAATTGATGAGCTCTTCTTGATTTTCAATTTTTTGCTGCAGCAAAAAGTGCTGCTGTGATTATTCTTGTATATGTGGGTCCTGTCCTTCTATGTTTTTTATCTGTTTGGAGTGTAAATCATAATGGTGGTATCACTGGATTAAAAAGGTGTTCATAGTTTAGTGACTTTTTGTGTATAATTCCAAATTGCATTTCATAATAATTGTACCAGTTCATAGCTCCATCAACAATGCCTGTCATCCCACATTTCCTCTAGAAATTGTCATTTGCATTGTTTGCCATTTTTGCCAATCTGATAGATGTTAGAAAGAATTTCAGAGTTGCTTTAATTTCTATTTCTCTTATTACTAGTGATTTGGGGCATTTTTGATAGCATTGTTAATAGTTTTTATTTCTTATTTTAAAAATTGCCTGTTCATATCCTTTGACCATGTATATATTGAGGAATGGCTTTTATTCTTACATACTTGAATCATTTCCTTATATATATTGGGTATTTGCTTTGAAGAATTTTCCCATTTCATTGTTTCCATTCTACTTCTAACTACCTTGATTTTGTGCAATGACTTTTCAATTTTGTGTGATTAAAATTATGATTTGAGATATTTGTACATTATTATTGATGTTTTTCTTTTCTTCTTTTGAAAATAGTTTATCTTCTTTGACCATTTATCTTTTGGATCCATCTCTTCAGTACTAATATTTGACTAGTGTTCATTTGTGGCAGTGAGATAACACATTGTGTAGCTCTCCTGTGACAGACGTTTGGGAGAAGATGGACAAGAGTCACACAAGATGGGCAGACATGAATGAGTTGTGATATACATTTGGGGGTGGAAGAAGCTCCCCAATTGATGAGATTAGTTTTATGGTCTCTTTCAGAGTTAGGGGCAAAGAGGCAATCAAGGAAGGCATAGGACCTTCATTTGAGGCAAATAGAATAGTGGTGATGGAAAACAAAGAGTCAATAGATATTAAGTGCCTACTGTGTTCAGATGTATTAAGTGCTGAGTATACAAAAAAAAGGCAAAAGATTGTTCCTGTTTTCAAAGAACTCACAATCTAATGAGGAGACAACATGCAAACAGCTATATACAAAGAAAAATTGGAAATAATCAACAGAAGGGAGGCACTAAAATTAAGAGGGATCAGGAAAAACTTCCTATAGAAGGTAGGATTTTGTCTGGGATTTAAAGGAAGTTAGGGCAGCCAGAGGTGAAGAGGGAAGGTGTCTCAGGCATAAAGGATTGTTAGTGAAAACTATTTAACTTTTATTTTGCTTCTGTTTTTTCTGTCTAGGAGAATGGTCTTTAGACCAAAAAGGACAGAACAAAGTGACTAATAGAGAATTGATACCCAAGATACAGAGCAGTGTAAATGCCCTTGATAAGTTCAGTCTTTAAGAAAAGATAGTTAACCTATATAGCGATCATATAGTGCCGGCATGGCTTAATCATATTGTGCTAACCATTCCTTTTTTGTCTCCAGGGTCATTAGACTATGGTAGATCAGAGGAATTCTAAAGATATTACATACCTAGATATTAGCAAAGTGTTTGATAGAGTTTCACGTAGTCTTATGGAAAAGAAGCTACTTATTAAATGCTTGTTGTTTTATTGATAGATTTAGTATAGTTAGGGGGTTTTAGAACAAGTTAAATGATTGCGATTCAAAGACTTTAATTCTTGAATTTCAACTTGGAAATAGGTCTATGATAAGGTATCTCAGGGGTCTGTACTTAGCTCTAGGTTAACATTTTTGTGAATGATTTGAAGTCATTTGTAAGCAGTCATCCTTATCATATTTTGAGGTTACATGAAGTTGGGAGGTATAGTTTACACATAGTATTATAAGCTCCAAAAAGATTTTGGCAGGCTAGAACACCAGGGCAGATTGAATAAGATGACACTTAATAAGGACTTGAATTCAAAGATTCAACTTCTTATGTACAAGAAGGGGGACATATCACTATCCAGTAGTTTGTAAAAGATCTGAGGGTTTTAGCAGCTGACAGGCTCAACATGATTCAACAATGCGATATGGTGATCAAAAAAAAAACAAAAAAACTGATGTCCTTGGCTGCATTAAAAGGCAAGTGTACAGGAAATGATAGTCAAGTATAACATGCCTTGGTCAAACAAACAAGTCAAAAAATATTTATTTAGCACCCACTGTGTACCAGGCAGTGTACTAAGCATTGGACCACATGTAGAGTAATATGTCGTATTATGTTTAGTTTAGATGTATTTAAAGACAATCTGTCTTCTTTTTAGCAAAACAGTTATAAAATTCCC